GGCCACATGACCACGGAGACATCTTTCGACAGTGCTGGCTCTTTGGCTTTGAAACGGAGATGAGCATTGCCCCCTAGATTGGGAACGACTAGCACATATGTGCGAGGGGAACCTTTACCTTTACTTTTAAGGAAATCTACAGAAAGATCAATGGGATAAATTATGTGAGAGAAACTACAAACTAACAATGTCAGCTGCTTATAAGGAGAATCTCTATAAAATGTTCTACCGGTGGCATCTACCACCTGCCAGATTGGTCATTAGATGTTCTTAAACTGATCTCCAGAGTGCTGGAGATGTGGGTATAAGCAAGGAACATTCTACCATATGTGGTGGACCTGTCCCAAGGTTAGAAAATATTGGTGTAAGATAAGAAAGTGCCTGAAAGAGATACCTGAACAGAGGATAGAGTTGAGGCTGGAATTGTTCCTCCTGGGTACTTTTGATGGGAAAATGGGGAAAAACTACAATACATAACATTACATATATTAACCGCAAGTAGAATCATCTTAGCACAGAATTGGAAACAAACAGATACTCCTGCAGACCCAATTATAAGAAGGAAAATCTATGAATGTGCAGAAATGGATAGACCATCTATGGAGATGAAGGAGAGGGAAGAAACCGAGTACTATCAAATTTGGAATAGATGGTACTCCTGGCTTGAGAGTAAACGTAAAACCTAACGTATAAAATGGAAAAGTATAATATATAGAATGCAAAATTTATAAGAAATATATGATATCGATGTATGAGTGGATGTTATTATAATTTAAGTAAGGATATAATTTAGGATAGTAATATTGAGTTAGAATGTTTCTAAATAGGATTGTGTTTTCGGGGAAGTCTTATTATTTTTGAGGTACAGGAGGCAGCGAGCGTGGATACCTCATAGCTGCTGCTGTTTTGCAATATTTTCAGGGAGAGCTTATTTTGGGGGGAGGGCTTATTTTAGCAAATGTGCTCAAAATCCCAATTGGGCTTATTATCCGGGGAGGTCTTATTTTCAGGGAAACAGGGTGTATGTTTATATATATTCATATTATGGTATTTCTATGTGGTAATAATCACAACACTTTAAAAAGTTGATTGAGGTGAGCTGTCTGTAGGGGTTCCTAGATTTCAAAGAACTGTATCCTGTATCCTGAATAATCTTCATTTATTAATACAGTGCTACTGCTCATCACAATTCAGTTAGTTGTTGCACTGTTCTAATATACTCACCTCTTTTCTTTTTTAATAGTGGCTTGGTTTACATTTGATCCCTGTTCAGCCCATAGAGACATAGTCCTTTCAAATGACAACCAGACTGCTACCTGCAGTAGCTATGATGATCGTGTGGTTCTGGGCACTGCAGCTTTCTCAAAGGGAGTCCACTATTGGGAGCTGCATGTGGACCGTTATGATAACCATCCAGATCCAGCCTTTGGGGTTGCTAGAATCAATGTGGTCAAGGATATGATGCTGGGGAAGGATGACAAAGCCTGGGCGATGTATGTTGACAACAATCGCAGTTGGTTCATGCATTGCAACTCCCACACTAATCGGTAAGCATTCAAGAAGCTACTTTCTGGCTTAAACCAACTTCTTCATGTCAAATGGTTCATTCATTTGCTTGTTGGCTTCTGCTTTGCTTCCAAGAATTTAAAGCAGAATGTGTACTGCAACCTCATCCAACTCTCCCCCCCC